TCCTCGGGGTAAATATTATTTAATAAAATTGTATAATCTTGAAAATTAAAGATAATTAAATCATCAATAAATCTGAAAACAAATTTAATATTAAGAGTATAGTATTTTTCATAATAATGCAAAAATAAGTTAGCTAAGAGAGATGAATAATTAGATCCATGGGTTCAATATATATATATAAATTGCATTGCTGTTAACAGTTTAAAATAACTTTGCATAGCATTGACTGTTTTGTATAGTTAAAAAATTTAATTGAACCTAAAAATGTCATTTTCCTGACATGTACCAAACAATGTTTTTAATGATAACTAGTTTCAAAACTTTCTATAAATTTTTCAATATCACATTTTTTTTTATCTCAACCCGTGTAAGCATTTCTAGAATATACGCAGAGGGTATTATTTACAAAAACTTCGGTTGAAATAATTTTTTCTGTCAATAATTTGTTTGTCCCAAGAAAATCTGTCATTTTCCTGGCTACTTTTATTTAGTGGTTTATAACCACTAAATAAAAGATAGAGCCCCAAATTATAGATAGAGCCAGCAATCAATATCTTATGTTAATGGATTGATTAGATACCCTCCCATATGAGCATGTTTTGTTGCATGAATAAAGAACCAATTTTCTGGTTCAAAATCTATTTCAAAAAATTTTTCAAGATGAGTAGGTTTTTGTTTTGTCATTTTCCTGACTTCCTTAGTTATTCCATTTTCCTTAGTTATTTTAAGAAATCCTGTTGTTTTCTGCAGAATGTAAACGTCTTAGGCCAAAATATTAAATTAAAGTTATATGTTATAAAATGGCGAATTTGTCATCTTCCTAGCTGTCATTTTCCTGGCTTTTGAATTCCAGAACATTGAATTGTTACGAGAAATTTTTCTTAACTTCTAATACTTTAAGGAGGAAAAGCAAATATTAACCTAATACCAAGTTTATGTACGATTGTAATATGGTTGGATGTAATCAAAGTTATTTATTTATTTAATGATTGATTATTATACGCAATTTTATTCTGTACATATCAGCAACAAAAAAGAAATTATTCTTTCTACAGTGGATGAAAATAATTAATTTAAGCAGTTTATGCTCCATCTAACATAAAGGCTTAAGTAGAGTTACTTACTATTAACTTAAAATGAATATTTTAAACTTCTAAGCTAATATGTTATTTTCCTGGCATTCAAGATTTGGTGAATTTCTATTTTATTTTTTTTCTCCAGCAAATGTCAATAAACTTCACGGCTGTCTATTAGATGTTAATAAATGTAACTAAAGAAGTATACAAAAAAAATTTCAGATTATTTTGAAGACTTTAAATTTGAAGAAATTGTTTGGTCCGAATTATCATGCTTAAAAAGAATCACCCATATATAGCAACAATCAATGAATCGTCTCATTTTTTTAAAGTAAAGAAAATGAAAAAAATAATGCAATTAATTTCACTTAAAACTGCAATGCCAAGTAATATTAAAAAACAACAAAACATTTGCATTGGGTTTTAAAATGGCAATGGTTCTTTTAGCACATCATATTCCAACTTCATAGTTGCAATTCAGTGGTATGTGGATCAGTACGCAAGTATTTTTACTTAAAAGTTTCAAAATGGAAAATTCTCGAACAATAAATTAAATATTATTTTTTTTATTTAATGGCACTCCTTGTACATATTTTTATGCACTTCCGTAATTTCAAGTTTTTAAATTGTTTTGGTTTTTCTCCACAAAGCTAAATGTTATGTAAAACAAAAAGAAAAAAATGAGAAAGAAATAAAAATGATAAAAGATGATAAAGAAAATTCCAAAGGAATTTGCAAAAGAACCCCTTAAAATTGCAATAGTTTTTGAGTAAATAAGAATTTTTAAAAAAATTTAAGTTCGGAAACAAATTTTATCTGTTTCAATTTGACCAATTTTGAATCTGTTGTTGCCTCCAGAGCAGCCCCATGATATTTTCCGATACAATTTTAACATATAATAATTCGTGACCTAATTATTAACTGATAATTTTTTTATTTCTTCGTGTTTCCCGTATTTTTTATTTATTTATTTCGTACTTGAAATTTTCTAGTTTTTAAGTTTTTGCGCAACTAAGCAAAATGCAGCGTAAAACAGATCACCTAAAACAAAGCAGCGATGTTTTAATATAGAGAAAAAAGTATATAATATAAGAAGTGAATTGCACAACCTGTGAAACACTAGAAATGGTTACTATTTTCTGGAACAGGTATTTTTCACCTGTTATTGACCTGTTATTCTTGTAGCAAGTTACTTCCAAAGGCCTGTTCCAAAATACTAGGCAAAAATTGTGATTCAATTATCTTATCAGAAATTTATCTTTTTAACTTTTTTATGATGTTTAAACTGTTTCTAACCATCTCTATACAGTTCAAACGAAGAAAAAACGAAAAGATCACGTTTTATTCGTGTGATTGTCACAGGGCCCTCGCCAGACATTGTGAGGGGCCCAACAAGTTTTCTATTTCTGCAAAGTCTCTAAAAAAGTGGATAGCTCAGAAACTAGTTAGATTTTTACTTAAATAATTCAAATAGATAATGTGCCTGTTTTTTTCAATTCAATTTTTAAAAGTGAACAAAGTAAAATTTGTATTCCATTATTATAATTTTCTTAGCGCTCATTTAAATTTAATAATTTAACGAGTTACTCTGCTAAAATCAAATGAATTAATCTGAAAATGTTTTTATGAAGCTTATTTTCTGCAGTTCAATAATTTGAATTTCTATGCATATTTTTTTTATTTATGTATTTGTTTTTATTTATTTATTTTTTTGCATGGCGCCACTAGAACACTCAATGACCATGTCTAGGCAATCTTGTATATGTTTGAAAAACAAACTAAATTCCCCGATAGTATTTATATCAAAAACCGCCTATGAAACGGGAGCACGAATTTCTCCCTCCTCGTGTCGTGAAAACTTTGAACTCGCCTTTTTTTTGGAAGCGGAGAACCACAACCTTTGTTGTTTATTTTAATGTAAGCAATATATTACGCATTTATACTGCTATTTATTATATAGCGTTTTATTCTATATCAAAAAACGAAATGAAAGACACGGTGATATTGCATAGTATATATATATATATATATATAACATCAGGGTTCCTTCCCTGTTATCATTGTTGTATTCAGCTTTAATAATTCAGTTGTAAGCCATAATACGTAATCAAAAGGTTTATTTAAAGGTAGGCTGGTGGTTATAACAGTTCACATCCCCACTCCACAAGAGAGGTGGTGTGGACAAAACTCCGGATGGTTCCGGCAGATATTTTATATAACACGTTATTCAGCAAGAGACATGCGAAAACCATCTGTCTCGTATTAAATACTAATAGAAAATGAGTAAAAAAGCTCAGTCTTGTAACCTTACGCATTAAGGAAAATCATTTAATGCTTCCTAATATGGAAGTGAAAAAGGGACAAGATTCTAAAAATAACTCCTCTTTGAAATATAGATCTAATTATAATTCAATGGGATGTTTTCAGCCTTGAAGTCCCAAAATATAATTTCTACACCTATTCTTTACCGAAGACATTTGATGAAAACGAAAGAGTTCTAATGCTGTTATTAATACAAAAGTATTTATAATTTTTGTATTACATCCCCCCCCCCAAATTTTTTTTTGGTAAGCCGAAATAAAAAAAAATTTAGAATACGTTACATTTATAAAATTTAGGTTGGTACGACTGCTCCTTTTCTCTACTACAAATAATTTTTTCTTCCAATTATATGTAAAAAAAAAAAAAAAAAAAAAAAAAAAAAAAAAAAAAAAAAAAAAAAAAAAAAANAAAAAAAAAAAAAAAAAAAAAAAAAAAAAAAAAAAAAAAACAATTATTTACAATTACAAAAATATAAAAAATATGATAATGCAATTTATCTGTTTAGTCAACTTAACAGAACGAAAAATGAAACATTTTTATATAACTAATCTACTAAAATTTTTAAAAAATGTTTCACACAAAAGTATACAAATTGAGTAACAACAAAAATGAGTAACAACTGGCCCGACACAATCCATAAATAAACAAAAATCTTTGCATGTTTGCAACCCTACTAAAGCATATGGTAAATCAGTATCAAGTATAAAAAATTTAGCTGAGTTAACAATTCCGTCTATCTTAAAAGGTGAAACTCACAAATTTTGTTAAGAGTTAAATGTCCTTTTGTTTGGGTAACATATAAGTTTTCAAATTTTTTAATAGGAATATTTAGTTTTGACCAAGTCCAAAAAGTAAAAGTTTCACAAAAGTCCACATTTTCTATTTTCTTCTCATTTTTTATTTTTTCGTCGATATTAATCTGTTAATGTATGCATCCATTACCTAGATCTATCTCCGAATCATTTGAACTTTTTGGACATTTACTTCAACCACATTTATTTTCTTCAAAACATTTTAAATGCAGTATAAATACAATATTATAATATAATTTTTAAAATAAATCAATATAAACACTAGATATGCAATCTAATCATTAATACTATACTATTGACTTATTCCTAATAAAAAGTTTAGAGCAAGGCTCATCTCTAAAGTCAATAAAATATGAACAACCTACTCTCCAACGTCTGCCTTCATCAATTTCGTTGAAGAGAGGAAAAAAAATATATCATAATTTTAAAAAAAAGCAATATAAATGCAAGAAATGCACTCCAACAATGAACAAGATACCATTGATTAAATTTCATAATAAAAAGTTTTATATCACTACTCTTATCTATTTTCAATAAAATATTTACTCATATGAGTGAGAAAGAAAAATATGAGAGAAGAAAAAAAAAACATATATCTACAGTATACTATTCCTTTCCATCTTCTTCAACCTTCATGATTTTTTATGTGAAGAGAGATTGAAAAAAAAATATATATAATTTTTTGATTTTGTTTTAAACGTGCACTTAACTTCGTAGCTTTTCATGAATATTCATGATATTTAGTCGCGCACAAAATTTTCGTTTTAACTTTTTCACAAACTTGAGCACTAAGGAATTGTAGTGTCTACTCTATGGATGGGACACACATCAACTGGTTTCAAGGGACAATCTCTACCCAACTTCAGCATTCCACCCGCGAGGAAGTACATGCAGTTGACGATGGGATGAGGAATCCTTCCTTTCCTTCTACGCTTTTTTCACTGCCGAAGAAGATTTTTTTTTCTTCACCCGGTGGGTGATGGGATGAGGTTATTCGAAATCACAGCCGGCCTCTAAGGAACTGCGTAAGTTTCCTCCGCAAGCAACTATCCTTGCGTCTTGTAATATCAGGGCTACATCCGTGTTATCATTGTTGTATTCAGCTTTAATAATTCAGTCGTAAGCCATAATATGTTAGCAAAAGGTTTATTTAAAGGTAGGCTAGTGGTTATAGCAGTTCACATCCCCACTCCACAAGGGAGGGATGTGGACAAAACTCCGGGTGGTCCCGACCATGGAGCTAGGAGTAGATGGAGGAGGCACTCGTGAAGCCGAAAACTCAGCAATGTTAACTGCGAAATTAACCGTCGGCCATCTTACTTGCTTCAAAACACTGTCAATTGTAGCTTGTTTATGCTTGAATTCGGACAGTTATTATCGTTTTTATGTTATTCGAGTAGTCTTACTATTGTCTTATTATTTTTACTTGGAAATTACGTCTTTTACCAGACATCTATGACTTCTTGCGTAGCTTATGGTTCCACAAGTCGTTCTACAAAGAAAATCCCGGGAATAACATTCCACAAGTAAGTCATTGCTATTCTATCTTTTTTCTCATACAAATTTCCTCTTTTAAATAAAATAATATTTAGTTCATTGTCATAATATTTTTCTTGTTTTAATCATTTGTTAAATATTACTTATTTTGTTTTATATGTGTATAGCTATTTCTATAATTATATTCATATATATCATTGTAGACGTTAAATTAAGGTATAGTTGTTATACAAAAGGTGCTAAATCGAAATGTATCTCTAATATTATTTTTCAGCATTAATTACCATGCTATTCGCTTTAAATTGCTGTGCTGAGTGTTATTATTCAAAGTAGTGATTTATTTTGGCGAAGATTTGAAAATATTGTGATATTTTTTTAAATATTGGATCCAACACTGATTCTTTAAATGTAGCTTTATGCTCACATCATACTGTTGCTTTTTTTTATTGTTATTACTATTTATTTTAAAAAAATTGCATGCTTTTTTTCTCTTTATTTTGTTATGGATAATAATCAAAACTATTATAAGTAGGTATATATATATATATATTATATATAAGTATATACGTATTTTAAATAGTAAGATATTTTTGTATTTACAAATAACAATATTTTGTGCACAATTCTGATACTTAATTTTTTGTAGAATTTATAATTCAGTAATAGTATTTATCTATGATATTAAATATCATACAGATAAAAAAAAATCACGTATCAATATTTTTAAAATAAATATCTGTTAAATATCAACTGATGTTGGGCATATACTGATTATGGCACATTTAGAAATTTAAATATACAGTGCACTCCCGATTATCCGTGTTAATCACCGGGACAGGTCGCACGGACAATCGAAAAACACGGATAATTCCATTAGCAAACTTTCTTATTTGTAAGCACCTAGATTTTTTGCGTGCATACAAATTTGCACTCTCAGTAATTGCATGCAATTAATTCAGATTTTATTTCATGCACTATAGCATTAAATATTTTAATTGAAATTGTTTAAATTTTTCTTGTCGAAAGTTATATTGTAAACATTAAGTTCTGTTTTGTTTCTTTTTGAAAGAGGGGAGAATTCTAGTTATATTATCACATGTACAGAATGTAATGTTTATTTTCTTAATTGTTTTGATTTAAAAATAATGATATGCAATGTTGTGTTCTAAATTCAGATATTAATTTCTTTAAATTTCTAATTTGTCTAAATCTGTTATTTTAAGTTCTATTTCTTTTTTGATTTCGTAAAATGAAAAAAAAAATGCAAACACAGCAAAATGTGTTCCATCTTTAAAAAGTACCTAATTGTTTTTTAAAAGCCTAATCAATAAATAGTTTTTTTTTTAATTTTTTAAGTACATTTCATTTATTTCAATTTAATAGATTGCTTTACAGTGATATCTCAAAGTTCTTAAATTTATAATTGTGCTTTTAATTTTTAATTGTGCTCTTCTATTTTTATTATTTGTACTAGATTTCTTGAGATACTTTTATTTTAAATTGTTTGTAATGTTAAAATTACAGCACCATCTGTTAACCAAAATGTATCATCTATTAGTCAATACTTTTATCATAATTTCAGAGCATCCTGTGTAGCACGTTATGAATGTTACGTGCATATGTTTTTTTTTTATTATTATTATCAAAAGTAATGTATTGTGCTGTTGAAAATTGTGCTTAAAATATAAAACAAAAAATTATAAATACATAGCGACTTTATTTAGCTTAATATTTCATGAACAGCAAATTATGTAAACACTTTATGCACGAAAAATTTAACCGTATTTATTAATAATGGTTTTGATCCAATCAGCTTTGTCAGCTGAACTTGCATAGACAGTCCGAGCTCCAGGTCCTGTGCATAGGCCACCCATATAGTTGGAGGTGGTGACAAAGCTGGCAGCTCCGTAAACGAACCATTTATCTCCAAGTTTACAGTGCAATGGGCCACCACTGTCACCCTGAAAGTAAAATATACTCTTTTCCATTCATAAAAATAATTCATTTTATATGGAATTTTGAATGAGCTTAAATTTTTATATGCAACCTCTTTATTCATCTTAATTTTCTAACTGAGTCATGAAAACTCAACTTAGTAGGCAGTGAAGCAGCTGTCGCCAACGAAAAAGAATTTTATTTTATTTTATAACCATCGTTGAACAGCCGACCCAATTTTTGGTTTAAGACTACTGTTTTTCAACTCCGTAGTCTTGTAATTTTGAACCCAATGCAGAAGACAAGGAAATTTGCCTTCACGGAGCACTTTTTTTCATGGAATTGTGCTATGCGGAGAAAAAAAAACACAAAAACCTCCCACTGTTAATCTGACGACAAGAGGACTCTAACCTAGGGATGAGCAACACGCGGCCCGTTAAACATGTAATGCGGCCCGCCAAGCATTTCAAAAATTGAATTTATTTTATCGACTTTCTCCCATCGTATTGTTATAAAATTAATTATAATAAAATGGTAGTACATACTAAACTGAAAAATTTTTTTGTGACGAGATACACACTTGTCGGCAACTTGTTCAAACATGTAATACGAACGCGCCGCGTCTCTGCTTGTTTGTGTTTGCTTCTGTGGCGGCAGCACTTGCAACCACTCCTGTGTTGTAGCGCCACCTATAGACTGACTTGCCGCAGTTAGAAAGTGAGACTGAAGAAGAAACACATGTCTGTGAACACTATCAGATAAAAACACTCTACCGACCAATTCCTGGCGAATGACACACGTCGTTATGTCTGAAAGTTGTAAGTCGTTGATATTGCAAATAATGTTAGAAATGTATAATTATAAAGTGTAAACCTGTTAATTATAAATAAATGTGTGTTCCGTGATAAATACATTTTATTGATTCATTCGAGACGCTCGACACTTCTGTCACACAATCAGTCAGACTGGTAAGCTGTTAACTAGCAATTCTGGTGTTTCTTGAAAAGCGTGAGTGCAGTATAAGTGCAATCCATAATAGCATGTCGGAAAAGCAAACAAAAAAAAAACGGAGGGTTGCGGATGAGCACAGGTATTTCCAAGAAAAGTGGAAATTTGATTATTTTTTCACTTTCGTCTAAGATAAAGCTGTATGCTTAATATGCCAGAGACTGTGTCGACATTAAAAGAATATAACATTAAAAGACATTACGATACAAAACATGAACAACAATATAAAACTTAACAGGACAACTCCGGATAGATAAGTTTAATCAAATGGAAAAAACACTTGGGAAACCAACAGGCTATTTTTAAAAATCATGCTATTTTTAAAAATCAGGCTTTTTTATCAAATACGGCAGTAAAGGCTAGTTTTGTTGTCAGTCAAATACTGGCAAAAAAATGAAACCCTTTGCTGATGGAGAGATGATAAAAAAATGTTTGACTGCTGTTGCAGAAATAGCATTTCCTGATAAAATAAATATTATTTCAAACATTAGTTTATCACGATTCACCATTGCAAGGAGAATTGAAGACTTGTCCGAGAACATAGCAACAACGATTCGTGAACACATTGCAAAATTCGAATACTGTTCTTTGATACAGCACAACTGGCTATATTTTTAATTGGTATTTACACCAAATTTAATATTACCGAAGAATTGTGTTCACTGATTCCAATGCAAGGGACTACAACCGGCCAAGACCTGTACGATGAACTAAAGTCAGTGTTGGAAAATTTTTCAATTTCATTATAAAAGATTATTGGTATATCGACAGATGGAGCACGAGTAATGTCAAGCATGAAGGTAGGAGTATCGGGAAGGCTATTTCAAGACATTAAGAAGGTCACAGGAAGGGAAATATTCGTTAACCACTGCATAATTCACCAGGAAAATTTGTGTGCGAAAAGATTGAGTTTGCCAAATGTCACAGTACTAATAATTAAACGAATTAATTTTATAATGTCGCGCGTTAAATCACCGTGAATTTAAAGATTTGCTGAAAGATTTAGAAACTGAATATGGCGACGTGGTTTTTAATACCGAAGTACGTTGGCTTATTAGAGGTAGCATGCTAAAAAGAGTATACAACTTAAAATGCGAAATACAATTGTTCATGGATATGAAGGGATATGCCTTTCCTCATTTTGGTAATAAAGAATGGATGTGCGATTTTGGGTTTCTTATCGACATGACTCAGCATCTCAATGATCTTAATGTGGAACTTCAAGGCAAAGGACAGTTTATTCACAATTTGTATGATAAAATTCAGGGCTTTGAGCGCAAATTAAAATTGTGGAAACAGCATCTTTTGCAGAATAATGTGTCTCACTTTCCACATTTAGAAAAAGAAGACGTTACTACTTCTCAAAAATACGCACAATATATAGACATTTTAATCAACGAATTTCAATCATGATTCCAAATGTTCGAAGCTGAGAAGACAGCGGTTTCCATGAAAATGTTTCCCCATTTAATACCGATGTGGATACAGTTCCCGAAGACTTTCAAATGGAAGTGATTGACATGTAGAATAATACCGATTTAAAACATGTATTTTTCTCAGTAAACATCGAAAATTTTTATAAATCGTATGTGAGCCCTGAGAAATTTCCGCTTTTGATGAAAAAGGCAACGCAAATGATGTCTCTGTTCGGAAGTACGTATGCTTGGGAGCAATTATTTTCAACCATGAAGTTAATAAAAAATGACCACCGCTCAAGACTGAGTAATGCACGATTAGAAAGTTGCGTACGTGCAGCTACCTCATCGATTCCGGCTGATATTGATCAGCTTGCATCGAAAAAACAGTGCCAAATTCCTCATTAAAAATTTCAACTAAATTCGTTTTATTGTTCTTTTCTTTTTTTATTTCTTATTTTGCATTAAAATTTGTATATGAAATCTTTACTTTTTTTTTAAATTTTATATTTTTCTTATTCTAATATTTATTAATAATAATATTATTCTAATAATATTAATATTCTAATAATATTAATATTTATTAATATTATTAATAATTCTAATATAAATAAAGTTTTGTAAATTATTAATAAATGTTATTTTATGTTCAGCCCGCCAAAAAATTTTAAAGTTTTAATTGGCCCGTTGATTAAAAAGATTGTTCACCCCTGCTCTATCCCATTATCAACAACCTTTATTTGTCAGCACTGTTTTCGGTGCGAGTCGGATGCCGGAAGAGATGAGTAAGTTTAAAGAAACAGCTAATTTTATTCAACTTATGGCAGTCATTATGGCAATCATTAGAATTGCACTAAAGGAAGAAACAAAAAACAAAGGAAGAATTTTTAAAGGAAGAAACAAAACATTAATTTATCATTATAAAAATGTAACGTTCCTCGTCTAAAATTGAAACTTTCATACTGGTAGAGACCTAACGAATTTAATATAAACTCATAAAAATTTATATGTTGCCTACTCGTATCACTAGGCAGCATGTGATGCCTATTGTGATACATATTTCTGAAGAAAAAAAAATCGCCTCACCCTATTGTACCATTGACACAAGAACCGCGGAGTTTTTTTTATGTTAACAACATGTTTCACAATAATTAAACATTATTCCTTTTATTGTTTTATCAAGTAAACTTGAATTAGATCATCATCTAATTTGTCTTTCTCATCCTTGAGTGTCATATCAAATAAAAATTTCATTTAAATATACAGTGAGTTCATTTTAAAACTTTTCAACTTGAATAACTTTTTAATTCAATGTATTTTTTAAAAAAAAACTTTCAAAAGCACGTAATCTTTTTTTTTTTTTTTTTTTTTTTTTTTTTTTTTTTTTTTTTTTTTTAAAAANTTGAAATGGAAAAATTTAAAAACCTGCTCTGACAATTTATAATTCTGCTTGTTGGCTCGTAAGGATTGTCGGTCACTGGCATAAACTTTAGTTATTAATGAATAAAAAAAACCATGAGGAAGATTTGATTTATGGCAGTAGTATTTTACTCAAACACTTATTAACGAGCTGTAGTGGCTCAGAACATAGAAAGCTCGCCTCCCAATGATCTACCCTAGGTTCGAATTCCAGCGATAACTGGTTGATACGAATTTTGAACTCGACTCGCAGTGTTGAATGTCCCCAGTGGTAGGCGGATATAGGATTAGAGTCTCCTTGCTGTTGGGCTAATCATGAGTAATTTTTGTGCGGTTTTCCTTTCCATGTTTTGTGCGGTTTAGCTTTCCATGTAAGTTAGTTAAGAGTTAGTTCTCCACGAAGGCTTGTTTCTTTCAATACTCGATCTAGGCCGGGATAGTCTGGCCTGTAGGGCACTAGAGTTTGTGGGTTTGATCACCGCCGTGCTCCCCGTGCAGTAAATGATGACTGATGCACGTTAAATCTGTCGAGTCACAAAGTCCTCCATGTTCCAATAACAAATTAATACCTCTGGGTGTATTGATCCAAGAGTTTCTTTGTCTTCTGGATTGGTTCAAAATTACAAGGCTACGGAGTTGAGCATTGGTAGTCATAAACCTAAAAATTGGGTTGGCTGTTCAGCGATGGATATAAAACTAAAAAAATACTTGATCTAAAGCCGGGATAGCCTGGTTGGTAGGGCACTGGGCCCTTTTCTTCTGACATAGAATGTAAGAAAAATTTTACGAGCCTAACCTTTTACTAATTTTATACTGATGACCGACCACCAAAGAAATCTTTTTTACTAGTTATGGAAACTGGCTAAATGCTGACAGCTACGAGAAAAGGTTTTCATGTTATACAGTTGCATGGTATGTTGTATTATTTTGTTGAATGATAACCGAGAAGAACTACTAGTTTCATACAAATGGCTTTCTTTCAAATTATTCAATCAGAGCTACAGAATGAGCAAATAGGTTTGTTGTGTTTATTGGGCCGTCTGAACAAATGCACAATTTATTAAGATTCCTAATCTTATATTAGAGAATATAAGATATAATTGCAAATTAAAAATACGGTTCCATATGCTTCGACTCTCCTAATGTTAGTTTTTAATATTATTTCCGCGACGGAGAATTTAACCTAATTTTGACACGGTGGCTTATTTAAGCAAAAGTAATTTCTAACAGTTATTTTTAACTTCTATAAGTTATTTTTCAAAAGTTATTTTTAACTACTATATAATTTTTAACTTCTCACATTTATATTTTAAAAATGATCTAAATTTACACTTTTAATTATTCGCAGTTTTACATACTAAAATACATAATTTGAACGAAATAGGTTTTTGAATAACCATATTGTATAGAGTCAGGTATGGTCTCGAGATGGCAGTCCTAAATCAATGATAAATTCAATCAGAAATATAGTAAATGACCTTAATATTCAGAATCCTTAACAAAACTGAAGTAAAACTACACATACATTGGAAGTGACATATTAAAATAAGGAAGAAGCAAAATCACCGGGTAGAGTTCACCAGAACCAGTTTGAGTGCCTGATTTAATTTTAGAGGTATTTATAATTGTCGCTTCTAAACTTCCCTCAGATCCTTCTGGCAGTTAATCCAATTTTGATGTTTTTAATTCCACATTCATCCCTAGTGATTCGTTAAATTTTAATATCGTTTCTGATAATTATTATTAGAAACGGAACATCCTGTATACTTACGTGGCATGGAGATTTGTTTTTTTTGTTCTACACAAATTTGTGTTTGAATATTAAAAGCGCACTTCTGGCGAGATTGTACAACTTGTTCTTGCTGTTTCAGTACATCTGATCCTCCTGATCCTACAACGAATAATAAAGAATGAGAAATTTAAACGTGCATCCTGCTTATCTTATCAGAAATATAGCTGCCTATGCTACCTTTACTTCATTACACTCCAAAAGTTAAGCATACTTTTACTCATGTGTAAATAGTTAAAGTTGGTTAAACTTTTTCTAATATAAATGATTTCGGTCTTAAAATAATTTGGATACCTGTATAATAAATACCTAGCTATGCGTTGATTTGTTTACGCTTTATTGTTCTCGCTGTACCACTTTTAATATGAAAAATATGAAATAAAAATATTCCAACTACCTCAGAATACTTTTCAGCTATGGTGATAGCTACGAATCAAGCTCGCTAAGCAATCATTGTTAAAAAAAAATAATAATAATTAGTATATATGGGTGTACGTATAACTTGACTTTTCGAACACCCCTAACGAAAATCAATGGATTGACTAATTCTGCACCCGTAATTAAGTCAGATATTCTTTGCTCTTGAAATACCAATGCATTATAAACAATGAATAACTCTGCATCAATTAACTCTTTTGAAAAACTATTTTTAGTCTTAATATTTTGTTTCATAATATTTTTTTTTATATAAAGGTCTTTTTTAGAAACACTTTTGCATGGCTTTGTATAACTGCGTATTGCATAAGTTTGCATATTGCATAACTTTGTATTTTGCATAACTAAGTATTCATAACTTTTGGATGCCAGTGTAATACAAGCTTTTAAAACATGCAAATTTAAATATTCCAGAGCATCATTTATGCCGGATTCAAAAATGTTATTTATCTTTATTTGAGGGCAAATGCATCATATCCATAGATAACAATGGCAAATATTTTCAGCTGAAAATTTCTTTGTAAACTTGATAATTTTTTTGATTTTTTCTTTTTTAAATTTTGCTTTTTTTTTCTTTAGCGACCGATTTATACACCCGAGATACTAGAAATTTGCTATCTCACAATCAAAAGTAGAAGGTTGACTTAACACTGAGGTATACGATATTTGTTTTCGTACTTAAAGAAAGATGTCAAAAAATTATCGCTCAAAAACACAATCATATTAGTTTTAATATCTGTTTTATGGATTACTTTTTTGTTATGAATTACTTATTTTGGCTTTATCCCAATTCTGTTTGAAATTAGCTTTTTCAAACTAAAAACAGGTTTGTAATTGATATCTGAGTTAAAATATTTTCCCTTCCTAATTCCCTTTCACTCTATTTTCATAAAAAGAAATAAAATTAACGATCATAATTATTAAATAATACAAATAAATTAACGATCACCTGAAAGACTCTTTTCAATAAATGTTGTGAAAGAAATTGTGTTTTAAAAATGTTTTAAATTTTAAATAGTTCGCTATTTTTTTTTTTGTTAAATTTTCTTAAAGACAATAAAATTTCAAATATTCCAAAAACAATTTTAACTTTTATAAATGTTCCGCTTTAAACTCTTCCTTTTTATTCTAAACAAGTAGAAAAAAATATTATTTGAAGAAAAATGAGACTGAAAAAAAGACTGGTTTGAAAAGAATGCATTTGTTTATTTGTAAATTTTAAATCGAAAGTTTCATTTACTAAGGAAAATTAAAATTTTGTAAAACAGTCAAATAGTACGTCATGCACTTACCACAAGTAGCCGAAGATAGCCCCCGAAAATGAGGAAAATCAAAAGTTAATTCGGGGGCTAACTTCGCATTTTTACGCCAAATAAATAAAAATCAAATTTTATATTGTATTCGTTTGACCATTTTTTGACCACAAATGACCACCTTTTAAATTTTTTTGACCACCCTTATTTTGGACATAATCCTGAAAAATAAATTCGGGGGCTAACTTCGCATTTTCACGCCAAATGAATAAAAATCAAATTTTTATATTGTATTCGTTTGACCACTTTTTGACCACAAATGACCACCCTTTNCTCCTATGAATTTTCAAATAGATTTGGAAGAAGAAGAATGGAAAAAAATTGCCCCGACGAATGTATTGAGAAGAGAAAAAACTAGAATTCGTAATTATAGGGAATTACAAACAGGTTGGACAGACATAATTGCCCATAAAATTAGTGAAATAGCCAAGCTGCCATGTGCGTTTAGTTTCAAACATGCGAAAATTTCCAACATTGAAAATAAGGTTTGGTTGAAAATTGAAGGTGTCTGTAACGAGTGCGGTTGCCAGCTTAATGGTCATTGTTTGAATAAACCCAAACAAGATCGTGGAATTTCTATTCAAGTTTCAACGTCTGACACTAGAGGAATATTGCACATCCAGAAAAGACACTTAAGAGGTAACAGGCACACAGAGGTTGGCGAGAGTCTCCTTCATAAAAAGGCATCCACCTGGCGAATGGATGCTTCAAGAGGTATGCATTTTGTTGAACCTGTACCAAGTTATATTCCTTCGTTGAGCGTACTTCGTAAAGCTCGTGAAGAGGCTGTAAATAGGGATTTAAATATTAATAAAAATTTAGATTGTATGTCATCTTTACTATATAAAAAATATGAAGGCGAATTTGCAGGTTATATTCATGACATAGGATTAGATGACTTTTATTGTATTTATTTTTCTCCTTCTCAAATAATTTTATATAAAAATGCAATAAAACGGGGAAAACGTAGCACATTGCACATGTAATAAAAATACTTAGCACGAAAAAAGTTTTTTATCGCAAGTTGAGCAAAATAAAAGATTTTTACGTAAGATCATTAGGAATTCTTTCTATGTGTAACGAAATTAAAGATTTCAAAAAACTGTTAATTGCCCTTTTCACAGTTGCACTGAGCGAATGCTGTGGTAAAGATGACAACGGAAAAGATATAGAATGTCAAAAAAAATTTGCCTGTTAATTGGCAGAATAAAAACATATGAAATTAATTTGGATCACGTTTCCTTCGATAATGATGAAGAAAGTGGAGATGATGGAGTAGGCACAAGAAGTTATACAGACATCGACATTTTTGAAAATGAAATAGGTTCAAGTGATGAGCAGCTTATTGATAAGTTTTTAGAAAAAAATCATAAGCGTGCTCAAAAGAATGCCGATAAGAGCCACGAAACTAACAATCCTAACCCCTATTATTTACCGGAAATAATTAAACCCTTACTAAAATTGGCCAAATATGTCGTTTTATGGACTAATATCTTAAAACAAACGTTTAATTCCACTTACGACGTGGCGTCTTCAGCAATAGTTGAAGCTTATTTCAAAAACTTAAAAACAACTGTCTTAGATGGATATGGCAGTATACTTCGAACTGACAAATTTTTCGTAAAGCACATGAGTTCTATTCAATCAGCATGAGTATACAACAGAGCAATAAATAATACCCAAAGAAAAAGAAGTATTACTACAATAAAGGACGAAACAGACTTTTCAAGTAATAAACGTCCGAAACGAGAAAAATTTTTGATAAAGAAATTATAATTAACTCAAAAGAAGGACAGACAGCATCAAATGAATTGGATTCGAATAAAAAAAATATTATTTTTGATAACGTGGATAATGATAACACGAAGTATTATCATTATAATAAGCAAAAAGTATTACCTAAAGCGTGTCATAATACAGAAAATTATGAATTATATAATTTGAATAAAGAGAAAACTGCAAAAACAAGTACGACCTGTGAAGCTTTTGATGATAATTTTGGCTATCTGTTCGCAGAAGAGAATTGGAGAAACAAAAATAAGACAAATGAAATCTATAAACTAGAAAAATTATTGGATACTTATTGCGAAAAAACCGTTTTAGAAAAATGTGGCCATTCCAATAATACGAATGCAGATAAAGAAAACTTAAAAATTTCACTAAAACAAAATAATAAAAAAAGAGGAAAATACGTAACACCTTGTCCAGAAATATCTTTCATACATAATCGATCCATCAGAAAAAAAAAACAAATTCTATTAAAAGGAATGGTAACATTCAATCTGCTCTATATATTGGGACAAGATTAATGGAAATTCAAAATACATGTGCATTTGATTCCATAGTGGAAATAATGTCTATAGCTTACATGGATAACAGGCATTATTTTTTAAAATTAAATGATATCAATAATGATGAGCAAATATTTTCATTCATAAAAAATTATGCAACAACTGGTTTTACAAGAAATTTCTACAAAGATAGAGCTCTAATTTTAATGAATATAATAAATAGCGATAACTGCAGTATTTTAAACTGCGCAATTAATATTGGATCAATTATAAATCGGTTGTTTAAAGTAACTCTATCAGCAATCGAAACTGGCATGTGTCCTAACTGTGGAATTTTGAAGAAAGATTATACTTTGATTGAAATTCCTTATGATGAAATTATTGAGCTATGTTTGAAAGAGTACATTGAAACCTTTGTGGAGCAATATTTCTTGGATAAAAAACTGAAATGTCCCAATTGCGAATCAAATATGACAAAGAAAAAAGAGCCTGGTATCCATATATTCTGCGACATAGAAATTGTTCAACAGTTTCGCCAACATCACAATGAACAGACGGTACTTCAAGATATACCAGAAAAATATTGATTCAGAAACAGCAGTATATATTAGCTGGATTCGTATAGTATTTGGGACCAATCGAACACATTTCAATAGGACATTATATTTCCTTTTGCAGACAAATACGGAATTCCTGGGAAATACGAGATGATATGCTAGGTGAACGTAAACTTTTAAATGATTCATTAAATAAAAAAATTAATCCACATATTTTGGTCTATACAAATTATGATTAATGTAGTGCATAGAAAGAAAACATATTTTCTTAATAACTAATGATCACTTGATCGGATTTTCAATCTGATCAAAGATCAAAAGATTTCAAGGTGTTCGCTTTCTTTGCGACTCTTAACAATTGAATATTAATTAAATTGTAAAATACGAAAAAGAAAGTTTTGATATTAAATTATAAATATTAAAATATTTGTCTTTTCTGAAACTTAAATTTCAATGGGTCTACGAGACTTCGAATTGTTCAATTGTTAAAATAGTAACGAAATGAT